AAATGGCATAAAACTGGACGTTAAAGGTAAATTTGAAGAATGCTATAATAATTTAGAATAAGCTAGTTTAAAATCAGCGTGAAACTTTTTCCCAGTTTATAATGTCACTAAAAGTAATAATTATTACTGGGTGCTTTTATTTTTCCAGGACTCAACATGTGGGACTTGCAAAAGGCGAATACAGTTCTATTTATATTATGTGCTGCTTTGGCTACAAGTCTGATCGTTATAACCTTCCTGATTTATACCATCAAGAAGAAAACATCCAGTTGTTGGTGTGGTAATAAAAGTTATACTCACATTAATATATCTATCAGCTTTGGTGCAAATTAACCATGTGGAAAGCATCTGTCATTGTAAATTTCTCTGTCTTTTAAACAGATGTTGGGACAGGGAGTGGTGATCAGCAGAGTCAGCAGGTAAGGTAAACTGAAAAAAAAGAAAATATAAAGACAATGGTACATTTTACTCTTGAATGTTTGTTTTTTGTTTTTTTTACTCAGACAGTAGTGGTTTACTCTGCACCAAACATCACTACGAGGAAAAGCAGCAAATTACCACAAAGGAGTGAAAAAGCAGCAGAGGGGGGGACAGTCTACACTGATGTCAGTGCTTCTGCAATCGAGTAACTACTGTTATTAGGGTTTACTATATTTTTTATGATAAACTGTGTGAAATGCATTTCAAGCTCCATCGTGGGTTTTATTTAAATTCTGAAACAAAAAATACAGTTATATTTATTGAAAAAATAAATAACATATTATAATAAAATTATATATTTGAATGTTATCATGTTTTAATGTCATTCTGTTATTTTCCACTTTGTTTTGTGATGATGTTTTAGAAAAGGTAGACAGTCATGTATATTAGAGAGTCAACCACATGTACACAGTCAAAAATTAAAGTCTAGAATTGTCTAATTGTGGAAAATTGTGTGGTTACTTGACTCCTTAGGTGAAGTGTTTCAAATGTATAGCCTGTGGGCCACATTATATCTGTCCTGCAAGATAATTTCATATGTTAGTTATTAATGGCCCATCAGTATGAGGGAGTCAAATCTTCAGCCCTGCTGAGAATCCATGCAGGTAGGGATGGGACTTTTATTGTCATGGGCACATCATGCAGCCAATCACGTGCAAAGACAGACTGTGATCATAACATTATGTGAGAGAAGGAAGGGGGCAGACAAGACAGCAAGTGTAGTGGTACAGCCCATGTACACAGAGATGAAGTACTATAGATTAAAATGCAAGCGTGTCAGGAAAAAGTGGAGATACAAGCAAAATGAGCAGCATCTGGCTGCATTTCAGTGACACTGGAGCCTCCAAAGCTGAGTCCATAATTTATAAACTTAGAAGCTGGCTAAAGTGATACCCGTTCTAATTTTCAACCATTTTCCA